ATTAAATTTTGAACGACCATTCGGGTATTTATTTTTAAAATGATTTTACTCAAAATATTATGTGAAACTTTTTCAAAGATTTATGTATTTTGCATATATACTTTTCATTCGGCACCAATCGCGATCATTATTTTCACGAAAATGCGTGTATGTGTTAGTCAAGCACATGTGAACGGTGTGGCCAGTCGTTCCGCACTCTTAATGAACGTAGATTGCTGATACCTTTAATTTAATGTTATGATATATGCGATCTAAGCAGACACTTCTTACTAATTGCTATATTTTAATACGTTTTAAATATGATTTTATATTACTCTGCCACAAAATATAACATTGGTATTTTGTTTTTAACAAATAAAGAAGTTTGATATATTAAAAGTATTTTGCGTTAATTTGAAGTCTGCTAAACTTTTTCACGACAGAGCCATCTAACCACTTAGATTGAATACAGGTTTTTCGTAGGTACAGAAAATATCGTATGTGCCTAGTAGTGTTAAGGTAGCGCTCACCAGATTGCTGTACTATGTTCTTCGTGTAATTTAAAAAACTTTTTTACTGAAATTCAAGAAGAATAACGACATCGACGGACAACACTTCAATTTTTTTATGAAGGTGTATATATTTCATTTTCACTTGCGGTCACTTTTTAATTAAAAAATCGGGATTAAGAATCGTTCTTAAAATTTACAGAAACTTTTGTAAATTAATAAAGAATGTATGGTCATGTTTCCTTCAAATTCGTTTTGTCACACCACTTTGAAAAAAATCTTGTAATATGTTACGACAGTACAGTGATCATAATTTATTTATTTAAGATCTCTGTAACTAGTTTCCTCCTATTTAGCAAGGATTTTTCTTAATATAAATGTCGCGTTTCGTCATTAATCTCGTTATTTTTTCTCCTTGAGAAAAAGCTTCCTAGACGTTAAACTTCTTAATCATATAAAGAAAACAACATTGGATAAAACGTTCGCAGGACGTTGGTTTGATTGGAATCTTAGAACAAAAAATAGAATTATTTGCGAACACTAATTTGATCTAGGTCTACTTCTACCACTNAATGCATTCATTTCTGGCCCACCCTGCGTACAATTTTTTACACAATCTTTTAATTTTTCGATTAATACGTTGCCCATTTTAATATCTTAATATGTAGCAACAATACAATCTGGTGGAGAAATGTAAATTTTTGTGGTAAACGGTCCGGAAAAGTAAAATTGTACAAATGGGGCAAAGTATTAGCATGAATGTGAGGAGGAGTTTTTCCCATCGTTGCATTAGCGTGATGGATATACGTACTATAGTCGGATTCGGCAGCCCCATGCCGTCCGTCCGTCCGTTCCGACCACCCTTTAGTTCGGTCGAAAGCATCGTTTCTTTTGTTTTTTCCCCTTTCACGGAAACGTAGCGAACGTAGTGAAATATGAGGATTGTCCGCAAACCGTCGGAAGAATTCTTTTACGCCACCCTTTTCCTGAAACGCATTGTCTCGCAACCGTCTGCAGCTTAATAAATCGAATTGCGCCGTTATCATTACAGTCGTCATCGACAAAGTACCTATATGTACAATATATATATATATACGAATATGGTCAAAGATGACAGTGTTTTCGATAACTATAAAAAATGGTCGTTATAGTCAAATAAATTATGTATTACGCTCCTTAGAAGGTGCACCTTTTTCTTCTAAAATAGATAATAATATGAATAAATTTTGTCTATAACGAAACAACAGTTTTGGCAGTTTCTTCATCATTATCATCACAAAGTCTAGTTGGACACGCACCTTCACTTTTTCCTATCCTGAGATAATCTTCGTATTTCCCTAAAACTCGAACAACCCACATCCTTAACTATTTGCAAACAGTTATCTAATCTAGGTCTACCTCTACTCCTACTAACTCCCATTTCTGGTTCTAATATGTTTTTGACTAGACCTTCATGTCTGAGAAGATGTCCTACCAACCTATCGCACCTATTTTTTATTGACTTCCATACAGTCCTCTGTTCTATTCTTTCTAATACCTCTTCATTTCTAATCTTCTCTATCCACGGTATCTTCATCATCATAAGGTCGCCAGTTTTAAGAATGGTCGGACACGTATCTCAACTCATTCCTATTCTGAGCTAATCTTCGTATTTCCCTAAAACTCGAACAACCCACATCCTTAACTATTTGCAAACAGTTATCTAATCTAGGTCTACCTCTACTCCTACTAACTCCCGTTTCTGGTTCTAATATGTTTTTGAGTAAACCTTCATGCCTGAGAAAGTGTCCTACCAACCTATCTCACCTATTTTTTATTGACTTCCATAGAGTCCTCTGTTCTCCTATTCTTTCTAATGCCTCTACATTTATAACCCTCTCTATCCATGGTATCCTCATCATTCGCCTGTAACATCACATTTCGAACGCTTTTAACCTAACCTTCTAATATGATTTTGACTAGACCTTCATGCCTGAGAAGATGTCCTACCAACCTATCGCACCTATTTCTTTTTGTAACACCAAATTTCGAACGCTTCTAACCTTTTCTTACCTACACCTTTTATACAATACTGTTTTGCCAATACCACTCCATTTTATTTAAGGGTATCTTTAACTCCTCCTTGCTACATGCCAATACTGCTACGTCATCTAAAAATCTAAGCATATTTCTTGTCCTTTCTTTAATGATGTTTATCACGTCTTCTGCGCGTCTCCCTATGAGATTATTTTGTCATACTTACAAGGTGTTACAATATTCAAGAACTTTTTTTTTTTTTAAGGGAGTTACTAACGTAGACGATACACCACCATCGGATGCCTTATCTACAGCCCTTCTTCAACTGATAACTGTGGTTTTAAGGAATGCACCCAAAGACATTCCGTCCAACCGAATGCAAGACGTGGTTAGGTAAGTTCTATTATATGTAAAATTTTTTTTGGTAAATTGCATTTCAACACCTTATTATATTTTTGTTAATTTGACAAAATTACTAGGTAAGTAGAATAAAAGATCTATATATTGATATTATTTCCTTGACAATTAACTGAGGGTGTACCATAACAAATGCGTTAATGACTTACAAAGAGATGATTGTCAGAGAATTTTCTCCAAATGCACAATAATTCCAGTACTGAATTTTATGTGTTGGAGGCACAGGAAAAATGTTCCTCTCAAGTATCCCATGCAACAGTCAAAAACTGGGGCCATAGTAGACTACGATATTTTGGAATTTCTCGATGAGACTACGTTTGTTTTCGTTGTTTTTATGGTATAAAATTTGTGTTAATTTATACACATCGTAGCTTCGTATAACTCCCGTATAACAACAAAAATTTTATTTTTAATCGACTTAATGACCAGAAAAAATTAATGTCATTGTCTAATTTGCAATCGTTCCTAAAAGAAAAACAGATAAAAGAAGATGTATTTTTAATTTTCGTTATCTCTTAACGGAGA